GATTTCCCTAATAAATCTGTATATGCTATCATTTTGGCGATATGTGTTTACTTCCTGTGATTGAGTGTTACGGGCATATCTGTTTGGGCTACACAATATGTTGAGGAGAGACTGAGATGTCAGCTCTGTCACATTCCACCTTTTATTCCTTCAAAGCACAATGTCTCCCTAGACCCATGTTTTCGGGTCCAGTTTAGAAGTCAGCAAGTCCTGGAAATCCTCCTGTCTCCACTCCTCCAAAGTGTAGGGCTGTAGGTGTGTTTAGAATGCTGGCTTGTCCTATGGGTGCTGGCATCTTAACCCTGGCCCTCGGTTTGTACAAGTACAGGTAACCACTGAGCCACGTCTCCAGCTCCTGTAGTTACACTTCTGTAATCTTAGGTTTTGAAGTATTTCTAACAATATAATAATTGAAACAGCTTTTGTGGTGGAACTTTTACCCAATGATAAAGCAAGATCTATTAGAGAGGTCTCACTTTATAAACAGGAAATTGCACTATGTCCATGTTTTAATTTTTATAGTGGCACTCATACAGGGGAGAGTCTTTTAGAGTTGAGTTTTGGCAAATTTTGATTTTGTTTTTTTAAGTAAGACTTTCTTTGTAGTAAAAATATTCTATTGAGGCTATTGTCTTTCTTCTACTCACCCTTTGTGGCTTCTCTGTTTCCCGTCTCTGTCACCCCAGCTTACTGTGCAGCAGAGTTCGGGATTACAGCTTTTGGCATTGTCTCTACTTAAGGAGAAGTAGCTAGGGTTGGAAGTGCAGTCTTCATGGGCTCAGGGAAGATGATAGTGGGTTCTGAAGGGTAAGTTTCTACAGGGAGGGCTCTCCTGCAGACTTCATCTCATTCCTTCCTAACATCGGGATGCTTATCAGTGTTAGCACTCTCCAAGGTTGCTATGACTTGACAAGCCTGGTGAACTTTAGAACAGCAGGTGAACAGAACTGTCTGGGGAAAGTGAACGGACATAAGAGGATAGAACAGTTAGGAAAAGTAAAACATCCTTTTGAAAAGAATCCTAGTTTGTGCTCTGCTTCAAGAATGGGGCTGACATTTTTGCTTCTCAGGCCAGCCCTGCTCCTCCTGAGAAGAAGTGAACAGAAAGCTTTTATGTATCTGCCCCAGTGCCCCTGATAGTGCCTATGTGATAGGCAGTTTTAGAATGCAGACGCTTCATGGTCTGTATCATTTATGGGGCACACATTAGGCAAGGGCAAATAAAGTATGAGTACTTGAATTCCTGATGGATTGAAGCTGTTCAGACAAGCACTGCTGAGTGTAAGTTGAACAGTGAAAATGCAGACATGAGCATGTCTGTACCTCAGTGCAGCCCCAGCTTCCCCATCACACTCATGCACAGGCCTAGTCTGGCAGGGACCGCTTGCAGTATGCATGATCATGAGACTTCAGCGAGCACCAGTCATGAGACCATGAATACTACCTTGCTTTACTTTCATTGTATAATGGATTGTTGGTGGCAGAAATTTGAGGAATTGCCTCTCACTAGAATGAATGACTGGAAGATAGCCTTACAAAGTCTAAACCTTATTGATTCATAGCAGGAAATCACACGTGTTTGGATTGATCTGGCATGGCAGGGCTTCCACAGCCAGGTCTTATCACTGCGTGTATTCTTTTTGGGTCCGAGTACTGGAGCAGCCTCTGTCTTAGGGATGCAGAAACTGCTGCTCCTGTTGTAGTGATTTAGTATCCCAGCTGCTTCCCTCTGCATGATGTAATTTGAAGTTGCAGCCCCCCAGGGGCTATTGGTCCCCACCTTTGCAGTTGTGAGAGCAGACCACTGTTCTCTGTAGTGGATGTTACTTCCATTCTGTCCAGAGTGATTTTCTCCTCTATATTCATCTAGCAACAGAGAGGGCACTGTTCCAGGAGCTTGCTCTTTCTACATAAGGCATACGTGGAACCATTTGGATGGAAAAATTATAAATTAAAATTTGTTTCATTTAAAAATATTCACATTGTGTTGCTCAAATGCCAGTAACTGGAAAATCACAGTTAATATCCTGTTTTTATAACCTCTTTCAGAATGTTTTAAAAATGTGTTTATGTTGTTAATTGGCTGTCTTTCTTCTTGGAGCTTTTCTATTTTTTAAATTATAGTGTTTTAAAGCAGGTTGTATGAATATGGGCTCTGTGGTTCACTCTTGTTATCTGAGAGGCTGAGATAGGATAGAAGCCATAGGTTTGCAGCCAGCCTCAGCTACAGAGTGAGCTGTAGGCCAGGCTATGGCACATGAAACCCTGTCTTTGAAAATAACCAGGTCTGCATGAGTGCAATGTCTAATGGCACCCATAATTTTAAAACCAAGATAGCACCATTAATCAGAACACTTTTAAAAGAGCGTCTTTTTATTTCTTGACAATTTCATACATGTATGTAAAATAGCTTGATCATAAGAATCAGATTGGTAGTTCCATTTTCAGAGTTACTGACAAATGCGTGGGAGGTGGGGGTCGGCTCTTCTCTCCCATGGCTGGGCTAGCCTCTACTTGTCTCAAAATTCAGAGGTTAAGTTACAGGTTAGAAAGCAGATCTGCTTCATGACTGAGCTCAGAATTGGGAAGAATGATCAGTGTCAAGCTCCAAACTATTCATTGGGAGAGAATTTTGTCTGAGGCCAACAAGCTGGAGAGTTTGGGAGGGGTGCAATTCCTGACCTTTAAGAAAAGAGAAGGGCATATTAAAAACAACTGTTCTGCACCAAATTCACATGACAGCCATTTTGCTTTTTGTCAGTTCTGTGTCCCTTTCTACAGAATTGTACTTAAAAGGCTGCTTCATTTCTACCAGCTCCTTGAATTTGTTCTTATCATATTTTCAATAATACCCACCTAAGCTCCCTCTTTTTCCCCTGGACAAGCCACAACACTTCCTCCTCATGCTTGCATGTCCTCACATCTTGAGCCTGTAACCCTGAGTCCAGTTACTGTTGCCTGCTGGAACAGTGACTGCGCTTGACTTGCCCCAGGCAGGCCTTGTGAAGGTAACCACAGCTATCATGAGTTCTCCATCACAAAGGCTATCACACCCAGAAAACTGTGTCTCATAGCACTCCCCTTACATTCTTTCTGCTCATCCTCCGTGATGCTCCCTAAGCTTTGGGTTGGTGGGTGTTGACAAACTGCATTTTAAATAAAAAAGAAATTATTTGATTAAAGATTATGTTCATACATGCCAGGTTTATTTCTTTGAAGGGTCAAGGCTTATTTTTGGAACCTGTATATTCAAACTAAAGAAGCATATAAGACAGTCCTAACATTACTGATTTTGTTGATTTTTGTTTTTGTTTTTGAGACAAGGTCTGACTGTGTAGTCATCTCTGTCCTGGAATTCACTATCTAAATCATCCCGGATTCCAACTCAGAGATCTGGCTACCTCTGCCTCCTGATTAAAGGTATCCACCATGATACCCAGCTACACTACTGATTTTAATACTAAAAGCATCCCCAGTTTTTATTTTTAAGTTAATGTCTTTCAATAGTTTTTGTTCTTATTGCTGATCCTTGATTCTTTAAGTGAAAACTGAGCAGTTCACATCTACCCGTGAGTCTTCTGAGACATGTGCATATCTCTGGAAGGATAAGATTTAATTTTGCAGGTTTGTTAATAATAAAGTCTATAGCACTTACCTAAAGAAAGAATGGTTTCCAGAGATCTTAACTACAAGCTGTGGGCCATATTACTAGTAATTAAAAGCTCTGTTGTGATCTTTCTTCTGTAGAGTTGGTATCCATGTTCACAAACAAGTCATATTTGTTGCCTTTCTTGGCCATTACAATTTAAACGTGCTTTGGAAACTCTTCTGCCATGAAATGACAATTTTAAGACAGTTTCTAGAAACTTCCACATGTTTCCCTTTGGAGACTACATTTATACCCCTGTATGTTGAGGTTTTTATAAGCAGGGGATCAATTGAGCCTGAGCTAACTTCATGCTCCTTTTTGTTTATTTTAGCCTTTTTAATCAGCTAATCCTCTCAATGAATATGGGTTCAGAAAGGGTCTACATATCTATTAGGAAACCTTGGTGACTCTTGCTCATTCTATTTCATTTTTAATGGTACTAGGTGATCCAAAAGTATTTTCTCTTGGTTTTTGGAAGACTGTTATTACAAGTTGTAACCTTTGTTTATTTGGTTTTACTTTCTGAAGCAAACGCTTGCTCTATATCCTGGAACTTTGAAGCCTAGGTTGGTCTTATACTTGCAACAGTACTCCTGTCTCAGCTGCCTGAGGGCTAAGACCATAGGCACATGCTGTCCATCCCAGCTCGAGCCATAAGCTTCCTTTGAAAATAAGTTTCCTTATATCAAGAACAACAACAAAATAAACATTTCCCAAGATCTGACACAGTTAGTCCAGAGGTTTCCGAGGCAGCCACTTAGTCTATGTACCAGCCATCCTTTTTTTTTTTTTTTTTTTTCCTAATCTGAAAATAAAGTGAGTACTGTTTTAACTGAACAAAAGAGATAGATTAAAATACTTACTATGGGCAAAATGGGTGTCTTATAATTAATAACTTGTGAGTTAATCCTTAACTACAGTTGACATTGAAGGGGGTGGTGGTTGATGACAAGCTGACCAGCAAGTTGACTGTTCCCAGTTTTCCTTTTCTGCAGAGAACTTTTTCCATTCCAGGGCTTCTGGTGGTCAGTGAGTGTTCTCTGAGAGAGACTGAAGGTCTACTTTGATCAGGGTACTTTGGAGAAGCATGCTTAAAGTGATTGGCTGTGAGCATTAATGACTTCATAGGACACACTGGTAATTTATGATATTGTTGAAACTCTCTGCTGTTCATAAAATGAACTTAATAGCCCACCACCACAGAAGGATAAGCTGCTTTCTCTCTGCAATTGAGTGCCCAGACTGCGTGCATAATCGTGTTTAAAAATGCTGCATTAAAAAGGGTGAGCAGCTGTATGGTGAAGGGAATGGCTGGGCCACAGATTTGTTAATTATCCTTTTTAATTCACAGAGGGTGTTTGTGAGATATGGTTGACCAGCGAAGACACTGGGGCCTATGGCAGAGACATTGGCACTGATCTCCCCACACTCCTGTGGAAGTTGGTGGAAGTGATTCCAGAGGGAGCCATGTTGAGGCTGGGCATGACGAATCCACCATACATTTTAGAGCATCTGGAGGTAAGGAACGATCATGCTGACACAGATGGCACCAGGACAGACCACATGGTAGCCCCAGAATCACTGGATGAGGTTCATTTTGAACCATTGTCACATGTGCCTATGCTCTCACATTCCCAAGAGAGAATGAGGCTTGCAAAGCACCTTTCTCTAATTCTATCCCATTGACTTTTACCTTCTCAATATTTGATTGAGTAATTAATTAATTTCACTATGTATATACAGTCATTATTTAACCAGAGTGCTTTAACTGTGTCTGTGAAGATGCTGTGTCTTAAGTATGAGGTGACTTTTCAATTTTTTCCTTGTATTGGAGATAGGGAGCAAGTATAATCAAACGAACATAGGACTTGAAACTTTGGAATGCATCTGGAAGCAAAAGAGGAGAATGGTTTAGAGACTTCTGAACATTACAGTTTGACCTTTAGTTTAGGTAGCCAAATGTCAAACTAGAAAAAAAATAGGCATGTGTCCAAGGAACTGTGCTATCTGATGACAGATACTACATAAAGCCAAGCAAAGAATGTGGACAAAGGAGCAATTGTTCCAATGAAAAAGAACATTCTAGGAGCCATGATTATTATTAGAGAAATATTACTATAGCTCTAGAGTCTGGGATTCAAGCCCAGATGCTGCTAGTCATATGTACAGTAAGGAAACAAGTCTTGTTTTTTATCAAGGGTGTTCCTTGCACTACTTTTGTACAGAAAAGTTATGTTGCAAAAAGCAAAAAGCAAGCATAGTTGCTAAATTTTAGTACCCAAATGCCAATAGTTATTTAAACATTGAAAATGTTACTTGGTTGAGGGTAGGGTCAGCTAAATAGATGGCTCAGAAATTTAAGAACACTTACTGCTCTTCCAGAGTTGGCTTATACCACACACACTGTGTGGCTTATAACTGCCTATAATTTCAGTTGCAGTGTATACCATGATGCCCTCTTCTATCCTCTGTCCTTCCCACCACACACAGAACAGACACTTACCCAATAAATCTTGTAAAATTTATTTCAAAAGGCTAGTTGAGAGTTTTGTTCAAGAGAAACCTTAATATCAGCAGCATACTTTAGAAATCCTTCAAGTGGTTGATGACAAACTGGTAATTGTAATATATGATGGAGACATGTTCCAGTTTTGTTCTCTGCATTTTCCCAACTCAGTCTTTCTATAGACATGTGATTTATAGAACGACTTTCAGGCTTCATACAGTGTCAGCTGATTATAATTTGCTATTTTAAAATGAGTCACAAGCATGTCAACTTCTACTTAACACTTTGACTTAACACTTGCAAAAGCAAGTGCTTTCAGTTAAAATGGATCTATGGCAGTCTCTCTGTGTTTGCAGTAAGTGTGAGGCACACATGGCAGAGGCCCGACAATGTGCTAGTTGTGTCTTTGGTAGAAAAGGGGTCGGCCCTCACTGATATACAGCTGATGGTAACATGCCAATTTCCTTTAGTTTGGAAAGAAAAGTTGATTGAGATTCTAAAGTAGTTTTGACATAGTTCAGGTAGAGAGTAAACAGGATGAAAAGAATAAAGTTGTTCAAAGGTGGTAAGCAAGTTCTTCTTGGAATCAATCCAGCATATTAATTGGTGACAATATTGTAGCCACAGATACTGTTTTCATAGCACGTGCTGGTGTGGTCTATTTAAAGCAGTGGTTGATTTCTTGGTCTCCCAAAGGTGTTCTAGAAGACCTTTTAAGAACCACAGATGTTGTTCAGTGTGACTTTACTTTATCTGAGAAACACCAAATGGTTAGTTCATGCATTCTAGAAGCCCTGGTTTTTTTGTTGTTGTTTTAAATTTTTGTGATGTAGTGAGGTCCCAGGAATGCTGGGTATGTGGCCTCAGTTCAGCTCCATCCTCAGCTCAACATGGTAAAATTTCTAATTGTCATGACATTGTACTGTGTTATTCTTTGCTTTAAAATAGGCTTCTGTTTTCTCATTCACTGTCACTGTCTTAGTCAAGAGTCCTCAGTAAATGAGTATAAAAGATTGAATAAAGGAAGAGCCTTCATCAAAGAAACTGTGGAGCCCACAGTAAAACAACAAACTTTGAAGTCATGAGACTGTGACCAATAGAGGCAGTGAAGGATGATGAGATACATGAGTTTCAAAGATAAGAGCCTGCCCCACAGAAAGTCATGGTTTCATGAATTAAAGCAGTGATGCAGGTGAATCTACCTCCCTCCCCAGGAATAGGGCATCCAGAACAATAGAAAGAATAAAGGCCAGCATGAAACTTAAAAGTCCAGGCCATTTGAAAGTAATGCTTTTACTTTCAATGCTAAGAGCTCTTAGCATTTTCACAAGACCTTCATACCTTGATGCTCTTCCTCCTGTGGTGCAGATCCAGGATGTGATTGGCAAGTATACCCTGTATGACACAAAAGATACCCTGGGTACCGGCGTTCAAAGGGCTTTCAGAAAGAAGATCAGCTCAAGATATTCAGCCGCTTTGCCAGTAGTGCATCTCCCTTCTTCACTGTCCTCTTGCTAGGGGTATATCACTCAACAGAAAGGAATGGACTTATGTAAGATGCCAAGAAGTCACCAAGAAGAACGAAAGGGGTAAGGCGCCGAGGAGGCCAACAAGATGGAACTAAAAAGCAATAGCAGGCCGGGCAGTGGTAATATACGCCTTTAACATCAGCACTCAGGAGGCAGAGGCCAAGATCTCTGTCATTTTGAAGCTAGCTTAGTCTACAGATCAAGTTCCGGGACAGCTAGGGCTCCACAAAACAAACAGACAAACACAGAAGAACAGCAGCCAAGGGAAGGGGGTGCAGGGTTGACACTGTTGGAATACTAGCCTACTATTGAAATAACTGCTTTGAGCCTTAGTATCCCAAAAGAGAAGCTTGCCTGATGATATTGTTCTTACAACAGGGCTTTCTTGTGATCCTGGAAGATGCTTCACACCACAGACTTTAATTGAGGAGTCTCACCCAAGAGAATTCTGTTCACATCCATGTGACTTGCTGGATTTTAAAGAGTTCCTTTTCTGAGAACACATGCTCTGTACATGTCCATCTACACTCACAGCAGTTTAAGGGGAAGTTACATAAGGGTAGCCCAGAATTCTACTGTTTGAGATAGGGTGTAGAAAACAGATCAGTTGAGGCTGTGCTTTCATTAGTTCTCTGTGGAAAGAGATGGCTTCATCAAGAGTCTGGCAATCTGTTGGACACTTTCTGTAGTAGATACCGAATAAATATAGACTAAGGGGAACCAAACTTCACTATTTGCAGGCAGACAGGTCAGCTGTCTTTTTGGAACATCTAAGTACTGTTTTTAATGTATTGCCTTTAAAATTGTGATTTAAAAACTATTGATAGAATTGAAGAAATGTAATTATGAATGTATGTGATACTGTTATATTTACATATGATAATAGAAACCGCAGTTACAACAGAGAATTAAAAGCATTTTTCCTCCTTTATATTTGCCGGTGTCTCTCCATGACCAAACATTAGCAATAAGCTCTTTGTTATGTCATTAGGGATCCTTTTTAATTCTATCTCCATTCATTTGTTGTTTTAGTACCCTTATAATCCCAGCTATATGTCCTGCGTGTATATTTAAAAGAAAAACCCATACTTCTGAGATTTCTTTTCTTCTCATGTAAGAACATGGTTGGTAATGTGTTCCAAACATATATTTGTTGCCAGATGTGCTGAAAAAGATGCCCCTCCCCACCCTACTCCCACTCCCTTGAGCAGCAAATGGAAATGTTTGACAGTGCTCATGAAATAAACCCAGCATACTCTTCTTCCAGGAATGCTGACCTTAAAAATAGGAAAGAAGCTTGCACATTTGGTCACTTTTGTAAGGACGTTGCTTTGTTTAACCGTTTTCCTAATAGGCAGGTATTGCATACATGAGCCCAGGGAGATGCTATGAGGTTAGTGGCAGTCATGGAGTGAACTGCCAAGATGGCACTAGAAATTGTGGGCAACTTTGTCTAGGACTGAGTAACATTGAATCAGCACAGTTTTCTTAGTGTGCGTTGTTTACATATAAAGAGTGCTTTCCTCATAGCATCTCTTTCCTTCGTAGAGTAGTTAGCTGTTGAGATGCTACTGCCTGCATGCCGTTGTCCAGACAGCCCAATATGAAGACAGTCGCATCACTGGCTAAACCACACCACTAGATCACTACTAAGCTTCCTTCTAATCTTCTTTCACACTGAAATGCTCTCCATCCCTCACCACTTGAGTTCTGACTCACAGCATATATGGACCTCACGCCTGCTGGTTAAACCTTAATGACTTAGTTCCATGTCTTCCCACCACAGCCTTTGTCACCTTCTGGAGATGTCTTCCTGTCTGTCTCTGCATTTCAGCACCTTTGATACACACTTAATGTACACTGAAAGCTGAAGCAGTTCTAAGTTTCACGCTGGTCCTCGGCTACATGAGTAGTATCTGTCCTGAGATTCTGACTGGAGAAGAGGTTGGGATTGATTGACAAGTCTCTGTCTCTGTCTCTATCTTTGTCTCTGTCTCTCTCTTTCATTCTCTCATGAGTTACACTTCTGCAAAGATACTCTAGATAGCTTGGGGAAACTTAAGATATGCCTTGTTTTTTGCCTTATGAAATGAAAATACCCAATGATAGTATCTTTTGATATTTTTTTGAGACAGGCTCTTTGTAGTTTAGGCTGTCACCAAGCTCATTATATAACACAGTGTGGCCTGGCTCCTGTCATAGTGAAATTGTCTTCAGTTGTATATTGATGTTGTTTTCAGTTGTATACTACAGAACATGAGGTTCTTGCCTGGCTCTTGAAGCTGTAGGTTGTCAAGACCCTTAACATCCTTCTTCTCTTTCTTCTTCTTAACTTTATTTTTATGTATAATTGTCACTGGAAAAGTGGTTAGTATATAGTTGAGGAGAAGTGAAAAATCACATAATTTGTCTTGGCTATAATTTTGTGGGCTAGGTAGTGGGAAAAAGTTATTAAAGCGGCTGAATTGTGTGGGCTTTTATTT